TGCTCAAGACCTTCCCCAAGCGCAAGATGGTGTTCTGTCCTCAAGCCGTTTGCAAAACAATCGTACCAGACCGTTTCAACGTGCTCTTGTCTCAACGTCGTCGATGGATCAACTCTACCATCCACAACTTGGCCGAATTGTTACTCGTCCGAGACTTGTGCGGTACCTTCTGTTTCTCCATGCAGTTTGTCGTGTTCATGGAGTTGGCTGGTACTTTGGTCCTCCCTGCCGCTATCTCGTTCACCATCTATCTCATCGTCATATCCGCTGTCAAGGGCTCGAAGAATACGGTGATTCCACTTGTCCTCCTCGCCATCATCTTGGGTTTGCCCGGTCTCCTCATCGTGGTCACATCCCGTAAGATCGCCTACGTCGGATGGATGTTGGTCTACTTGGTTTCGCTTCCCATTTGGAACTTTATCTTGCCCGCCTATGCCTTCTGGCACTTTGACGACTTCTCTTGGGGTCAAACGAGAAAGATTACGGGTGATAAGGGCGGCAACCATGGTGACAAGGAGGGAGAGTTTGATTCTAGCCATATTGTCATGAAGCGTTGGGCTGAATTCGAGAGGGAGAGGAGATGGAAGCTGAATCACTCGAGGGATTCGACTTATCTGGATCCTTACAGGTCCATCTCGCCCAGACGGTACGGTCCTTCGTTTCATATTTCCATTCACATGACTAATAGCATCTTTAGCCCTGAAAGCCACCGTCAATCCATGGTTTCAATGCAAGATGGCTTCGATCCCTACGGACGTCCACCCACCTTTATTCAATCGCGACACTCCGATTCACCAGACAGTTCACCTCAGCCATATCCTCGTTCAAGGCAAGACAGTGCGCCATTGCTCATGCTTCCTGCTCCACTTGCGGTTACGGGTAATCAACACACTTCGTCGGTTTCATCATCTTTGAATGATTCCATGTCTGGCTACCTTGCACCCGATGCGCAGCCAAATTACAGGTTACACCGTGCACCTGATGACCCAACAATGTACACACCGGACTACAGTGACCGTTCAGAGCGTGAACCCATTTTAATGTCACCAAGCACATCAGAAAACATCGTCTCCCCCACTCGGGGAATCAACGCTCTGAATGAAGCCGTTATCAGGCATACTACTGGAGGTTCTTCGTACCCAGGTGAAACTCCGAACCCGTATCGCAACTCGCAACATCATACGGCTGCGTACGAAAATATGCCCAACTTCCAAGGGTATAGTGCTGAGGTTGTGGACGAGATGCCCGTTATCCCACCACCACGACAACGTGGAGTAAGTTTGATCGATCCTGGACCGGTCGTTAACCCGGATGGAGGTTCGTCGCGTCGGACAACCAGGGCGACCAAGCGATCATCGGCCACTATCATCTCTTCATCGAGTGGAGGCCAGACAAGACACAAGCACCAATCCCTTCCTCCTACTCCTGTCTCTCCTCCGCCCAACACATATCTACCCCCCGGAGCTGCACCACCGCAACCGCAGCCAAACAACCAGAACCGGTACTAATCCTCTTGAAACGCGCCTCTACAAGTAAAAAATTTGTCACCAAATGACCGGATAGATCATCGCCACTTGTACGAAATAATTGGACTTATCTATTTCTCTCCTCCTTTCTCGTTGGGCTCTGCCGCAACTTGACCTTGCATAAAAGATTGGACAATTTCACAGAGACTTGATTTATTCTACCACCTCCTATACTCGCTATTTACCTTTCTCATCCGCGCTCTGCCTGTTGTCTCTCGCTTCCAGTTCCTTTCTCCCTAACGAGTGTTTCGTCTGCCAATCCAATCGCCCTACCTAGCCCCTCCAGTCGCCGATAGATGTTTGACTCGTTTCTTTTTCTTCCTAGTCTATCTCTCCTTCTCTTTTTTTTTCCCCTTTCTTTACCCACCGAAAGTCGTGACTCGCGCCACGGCCTTGCTTCCATGCGATGAGAGTAATTCAGACCAGTGCAATTCGATTATAATCATTCAATGTGTTTTAGAAGACATTATACCGAGTTTCTTATATTGTCTTCATGTTGCGGAAAGTTTAGCCTAAATTGAGCGTTGAAATTTTGACCAATAAGAAATTCAGATGCCGCCATCAGGGATATCAGGGGCCCTTGATGATTCCAACTCCCCCAGACTGTTTGTCCAAACTCAGAATTCCCCCTCTGCCACCTTCTCGTTCTCCACGAAAATATATTTACGAGAAATTCATACATATTCCGTTTCTAGAACAAGCCTTTTCACGGACGTACGAGGTGCCTCGTGCCACACAGTTGAATCATGTCCAACAACGTTGTAGGACAGAAACAGGTGCGTTGAGAGTTCTATTCGCCGTAGACTCCAAACTAAAAACCTGGACCTACCCTTCCTTTTTGGCCACAACCCCTTTTTTCGAACAGAGCACCCCTATGATCGTCCAGCCCGAGCCTCCGTCCGATAGGCAAAGAGGTATGTAGATTTCACCTCTGCTAGACTAAACACCTCATGTAGTGTGATATAACCAAATGTTCTGACGCATTTTGTTTTGTTCGTGTCATCCCAACTATAAACAACTTTTCTCGAATAGAGAACAATGAAGCTTATGCCGACGACGACTCGCACGGTTCCGACCGTGATGCCCCAGCAGATGAAGATATAGATATGATAGAGACTGAACAGAATGCTGCCGCTGCTGCCTCTACTCATGGTAGTGAGATGGACGAAGCGGGTGCAGAAGACGAAGTCGACAATACTAGTCAGTGCACAGATGTGCGAAACCCTCTCAAGTCTCAGAATTCTAACGGATTTGTGCAGATCCTATAAGTCCGACATCGTCACCTAAACGGGTTGATCGAAAGACACCATCGACTGAAAAGGTGTCGGCTGCCACGCTCCAAGCTCGGGCTCGCCTGAGGACACGTTCCAACCTCAAAAGAAAGGAACAAACGCCAGAAGATCTAGAGTCTGAAGAGGACGATGGTATGGAGCGAAATTTGGAATTCTCGGATTCTGAACAGGAAGGTGAAGACGAGCTCGACTCAGACGCAGAACCAACCAAAGGTTCGCCACGCAAAGCACGAATGAGCTCTGCTGCTAGTAAAAAGGTTATCAAGAACGTAAAGGATCTACCGGTGTATGCCCAACATGCCTATGTGGCTTCTACGTTTGGTCTCCCGAAACTCCCTGTCCCTATGGTCCTCCTCCCAGGTCTCCGCTCTCGCAAGCCACCCCCAATACCCGTACCTGATTTAACGAAAAGGAGTCGGGGAAGACATGTTTCCGCGGCTGATGATGATGCAGGGCGAAAGTACCATTGTAACGTTCCAGGATGCGACAAGTAAGATCATTTCATATTCTATAGTATTGATCGAGGTTTAACGGACCCTAGGCGTTTCGCTCGTGGAGAACACCTCAAACGACACATCAGGAGTATACATACACACGAGAAACGTAGGTTCATTGTTTGTGGGGTTTCGAACCTCGCACTGACTGTCCCCCCCAGCACATCAATGTCCCTACCCTGGATGTTTACGAGGCTTTAGTCGAACCGATAATATGATGCAACACATGAGAACTCATGATGATTGGCCGGATGATGAGACTGCGGCCAAGATGAT